GGACCACACAATCCCTAAGAATGGTGCATCCAGGGCAAGTTACATGTTGCACCCGCCATCCAAGGACATACGATGGTGTAGATTCCTCTAAGCTAATACGCAGTATATTATATTATTGTACCGACAAACAAGTGGTATTGATCAATAACAACACTGCAGCTAGCCAAGGAATCGAACCCAGGCTGCTTTGGCCCGCCTCTCACCATGAGGTTTGCCAAATTCTAATGATAGAATTACTAACGAAATATTAGGTGAATGGACACAGATAGAACTAGTGTGACATTTTATTGTGGTACCGTTTCGCTCTTCAGCAGCAGCTTTGTAAGTGATTGACAAAGCTCCTGGAGAGCGAAACTTTGCCACAATAAAATCTCACACTAGTTCTATCTGTGTCCATTAATATAACAATATATATTCTGTTTCAATCACTATGTCCAGGCTGACAAGCACAACCACAATTTGACAGATTATTCTGGAAATTCGAATTCGAGGCGGCAACCAAGAGGGTTTGTGAAGGAGGGGAGAGATGGGCCGGCAGCCCAGTCTTAAACTTGGGATGTATTGGTTTAGATCTGGCGGGAGTCTCAGTCCGGTTCCCGTTCCTTCTGATTATGTCAAGCCGCACTCCTACGGCTGCTACCACCACTGCTGCTACCACCACCACTGTTGCTACTACCACCACTGTTACTACCACCACTGCTACCACCACTGCTGCTACCACCACCACTGCTGCTACCACCACTGCTACTACCACCACCACTGCTGCTACCACCACTGCTGCTACCACCACTGCTGCTACTACCACCACTGCTACTACCACCACTGCTGCTACCACCACTGTTACTACCACCAGCACTGCTGCTACCACCACTGCTACTACCACCACCACTGCTGCTACCACCACTGCTGCTACCACCACTGCTGCTACCACCACCACTGTTGCTACTACCACCACTGTTACTACCACCACTGCTACCACCACTGCTGCTACCACCACCACTGCTGCTACCACCACTGCTACTACCACCACCACTGCTGCTACCACCACTGCTGCTACCACCACTGCTGCTACTACCACCACTGCTACTACCACCACTGTTACTACCACCTGCTGCTACCACCATGCTACTACCACCACCACTGCTACTACCACCACTGTTACTACCACCACTGTTACTACCACCACTGTTACTACCACCACTGTTACTACCACCACTGTTACTACCACCACTGTTACTACCACCACTGCTGCTACCACCACTGTTACTACCACCACTGCTGCTAACACCACTGCTACTACCACCACCACTGCTGCTACCACCACTGCTACTACCACCACCACTGCTGCTACCACCACTGCTGCTACCACCACTGCTGCTACTACCACCACTGCTACTACCACCACTGCTGCTACCACCACTGTTACTACCACCAGCACTGCTGCTACCACCACTGCTACTACCACCACCACTGCCACCACTGCTGCTACCACCACTGCTGCTACTACCACCACTGCTACTACCACCACTGCTGCTACCACCACTGTTACTACCACCACCACTGCTGCTACCACCACTGCTACTACCACTACCACTGCTGCTACCACCACTGCTGCTACTACCACCACTGCTACTACCACCACTTCTGCTACCACCACTGTTACTACCACCACCACTGCTGCTACCACCTCTGCTACTACCACCACCACTGCTGCTACCACCACCACCACTGGTGCTGCCACCATTGCTGCTACCATCACCACTGCTGCTTGTTACACTCCAAGTATTGTAACAACTATTTCCTTTTTAGAGCATAACAATTTTGGTCAGAGAGGTTAGGGTAATAATAATGATCCTCCGGAATGCCTAATTTTAATTAAGTATATTCATAATAAAACAAAAGCCTGTTATAATATACGAATTATCGTATATAAGTTAAGAATATATGTTTCTTCTGTAGTATCCAACATATACATAAGGCTTTCAAAACAGAGGATTAGGAGGATATCCTAGATATAACATATATATAAATGGAGATTACTTTATACATTAAAGTCTTGTTTCCCAATTGGAAGCAGTCAGAATAAAACAGAATATGTCCAGGCCGGCTAATAAATCTTGGCCAGTTACCAGAGACGAGCAGGAGTGTTTCTCGTTGGCTGCTACTTCTTCACTGCTCGTCCCTCAACCTTGAGCATACACGAAAAAGTGGGTCACGTGACCTGACTCATCAACACTCAGAGTAGTTGAACATAAAGGGGGGGGGGGAAAGGGGGGGTATAACCATCAAACATCACGGCTAACTACACACCGGCACACCGGGCGGCAGGCAGGTTACTATAGCTCCAATTAAACTTATCATGGCCATGTTACATAAATTATAATTGTTAATAAGAATTAATCTTAATAATACAAGGACGTTCATTTCCAATTTAGCTATTAAAGGAAATGACCGCAATGTAATATTAAAGGAAGGTTAACCATAGGGGCATGACACCCCGGCCCACAAGCAAATATCTCGGCGTTTAAGATGCTGATGGAGTAGAAGAAACCAACCAGCTGGTATAGGGATGGAGGTACATCATTCCAAGGTTAGTCATCCACTTGCTAGAACTGGTCCAGAAACTGCTTGACTGCAAAGAATTTCCGTAGTCAAGCCATATTAGGAGCGAGAGAGAGCATCGGCTAACACGTTGCTCGAACCCTTTATGTGAAAAATGGAGATCCGGTAAGGTTGGATCCTTAAAGCCCAGCGTAATATTCTAACATTTTTTGATTTCATAGAATTTATGAAAGTTAGAGGATTATGGTCTGAGTAAATATTTATCACATGAGGAGTATAACCGAGGTATACGTCAAAGTGTTCTAAGGACAACACTAAAGCCAGGGCTTCTTTTTCTATAGTTGAATAAGATCTTTGATATTCTTTCAATTTATAGGAAAAATAACATATTGGATGTAGAATATTACCGTTTGGAAGGATTGCAATAAGACAGCACCTATAGCTGCATCACTGGCATCAACATGGAGGGTGAAAGGAATTTGGAAATTGGGTGCACGCAATACTGGGGCAGAGGAAAGGAAACGTTTTAAAACGTTTAAAAGCTTGTTCACATTCTCGTCCCAATTAAATTTATATTTAGGACTGGTCAATCTAGTCAGGGGGGAGGCAACTTGAGCAAAGTTTGGACAAAAACGCCTGTAATAAGTAGCCATCCCCAAAAATCGTTGGAGGGCTTTCCTGTCCTGAGGCGTCGGGAAATTTAAAATAGCTTGGACCTTTAATTGGTCGGGGGCTACTAGTCCCTTCCCTATTTTAAAACCGAGATATTTAATCTGGGCTTTACCAAAGTCACATTTTTGTAAATTTACAGTGAAATTGTATTTCTGCAAGGCTTTAAGTAGTTGCTCTAATCTTTTTAAATGAGACTGCCAGTCATCACTAAAAACCACCAGGTCGTCTAAGTATGCCTCTACACCTTCTAAGGGTTGGACTAAAATGTTCATAATTCTCTGGAAAGAGGAGGCGGCGTTACACAAGCCGAAAGGCATAACCTTATACGTAAATAGTCCGTTCTTAACTACGAACCCGGAAATCTCTTGGGCCCTAGGAGTTAACGGCACCTGGTAATACCCTCTCAGCAGGTCTAATCTGGTCACAAAGTTGGCACCGGCTACAGCATCTATTAAATCATCAATCCTGGGTAATGGAAACCCATCTGGTTTGGTGACTGAATTTACTTTACGGTAATCCGTGCATAGGCGTACGGTACCATCGGGTTTTGGGACCAATAAACAGGGAGAGGCCCAAGGTGTCCAACTGGGTTCTATCAAATTATATTCCAGTAATGTATTTATTTCTTGTTGAATTAATTCTTGCTTAGCAGGAGAGACCCGGTAAGGGGATTGCTTTATTGGACTATCTTCTAACAATTCAATATCGTGGAAACCTAATGTACAAGGAGTAGGAATATCTTTGAAGATGGAGTTATATTTAGTGATTAACTCTTTGATTTGAGATTTTTGGGAGGTAGGAAGAACTTCCAGGAAATGGTCTAGTTCTTTTAAAACTTCAGAATTATGTAGTCTAAATTCTCTTACTTCCCTTACAGTGTCATTCCTTATTTCAGTGGATGTAGGTTGAATAGAGGTAATAATAGTAGGGAGAAGGCTAGACTCGTACTTCTTTAAGTTATCTATGTGATACCTCTTAATTTTCTTACGACGTCCTGGTTCACGGACCAGATAATTCACCTCATTTTCTTTGTCTACTATTTCATATGGCCCCAATATCTAGGTTTAAAGAATGTCCTGGAATTAAGTTTTATAACTAACACTAATTCATTCGGAGAGAATGAACGAGATTTAGCCTTTTGGTCATAAGATTTCTTCATTTTGGCTTGAGCTTCTGACAGATTCACGGCAGCTAAGCTTTTTAATTTGGAGAGAGGTTCTTTCCAAAGTAGAGGACTGGGATGAAGAGGTCCTCTCTTCCCTATCCAAGAATCTCGTAATATGGCTAGGGGTCCTCGCACTGATGTCCAAAAATCAAGTCAAATGGAGAGTATTTAGTACTTTCTTGTTCAGCTTCACGGAGGGCGAAGAGAAGAAAGGGTAAACCTTCGTCCCATTCACGAGAATATTGCTCACAGTAAGCACGTAAAGTAGATTTAAGGGTTTGGTGGAATCTTTCTAGCACTCCTTGTGACTGGGGATGATATGCTGTAGAGAGGATCTGTCTTACTCCTAATCGAGACATAGCCTCTTTAAAAACCTTAGACGTAAAATTAGAACCTTGGTCAGATTGAATTTCACGTGGTATGCCTACTTGAGCAAAGAAGCGTATTAAAGCTCTTACTATATTTCTGGAATTAATTTTGGACATTGGGATAGCATCAGGATACCGAGTTGCCATATCTATGATGGTGAAGATATACTGGTTACCCCTTTTTGTGCGGGGCAACGGTCCTACACAATCAATAACTAATCTTTCAAAAAAGGTTCTTCAGGACATTTTATTGGAAGTAAAGGGGCAGACGCGGGATTGTGCGCCGTTTTGCCTATTATTTGACAAACGTGGCATTTCCGTAGTTTGTCAGCAATATAAGTCCTCATCTGAGGCCAAAAAAAATATTTCCTTATCTTTTTCTCTGTCTTACGAGATCCTAAATGACCTCCCAGTGGATTATCATGTGCTAGTTCAAATACCATATTACGTAAGGGCGATGGCACCACTAACAAGTTTCCTTTTGAACTCAAATCATTATCATTATTTCTCTTCCAAAGAAAACCGTCTTCATCTAAAAGGTAACCTTCCTCTTTATCCTTATTGGTTAAACTTTTATCGTCCTTTAGAGCTATAAGAAATTCTTCTTTATTACATTTTCTAGCTAGGTCCGCAGGGACTGGTAAAACTTTGTCACCTGTGGGTCTCGACTGAATTGCTTCGCTAAACAGGAAGTTCAAACCTAATTCATCGGACATTTCTAAAGGCTGTTTAATATCCAAATTGTTAGAGTTCTTAGCCATGGCTCTGGTGACCACATTAAGGGGAAATAAATCTAGCCCTGCCTCAGAGGCTTCTAAGGCATAATTTACATCACAAGGATTATCTAAAACCAGAGGCTCTCTGGGTATCTCCAATTGATCAATTTCGTTCCCGATTAATAGATCCACGCCGGCAATGGGGAAAGGTTTATCTGAAAGTCCCACATTGATCCAGCCTACATATCCAGGCAGTTCTACATAAATCCTTATAATAGGGACCTTTATTATTGTGCCTCCGTAAGCCTCTAATAATACGTCTAGCCGGGGTTCTCTACTAGTAGGTAACTTTACCAGGTTTGATCTTAATAAAGAGAGATAGCTGCCAGTATCTCGAAAGGTCGTGATATTTACTAACCTCTCTTTACAGAGTCCGAACTTCCCCTGGGAAAAGTAGGGTTCCATAGCTACTCGGACCTTTTCTTCTGAAGCACTGTCGTGGTAAAGTCATCTATTAGACGGTCTGCTAGATGAGGCCTGAAAAGGTAGAGATTCATCATCCAGAGTTTCATACTTCCGAGAGGAATTTATTACCTGGGTAGGATATCTCCCTCTTGGTTGGGTTTTATCATCCCGCTGTTTATGCCAACACTGGGACTGTCTATGACCTAACTTTTTACAAAAAAGGCACAGTGGTAATTGATCTTTAGGATACTGTCTGGAGAAAGAGCCGTTTGTCACCTGTTTTTTGTCTGAATACACCTTCAAAGGTTCGCCAGCTGGAGCTTTCCTAGCCGTCAATCTTGAACTAAAACCTTGGGAGGTAGATTTCTTTTCCGGGGCCTTAGACATTTCTGTGGTTATAGCATGGGAAATTTCAAAGTGATCTGCGTGGGCAGCAGTATCTAACAAGTTAGTAGTGGGAAATGTCAAAAGATAAGTATGCACCCTCTCTGGAAAATATTTAAAAAGATCTTCATGCAACATCAGCTGGGAAAGTGACTCGACTGAGGCGGCTCCCGCGGCCCTACGCCAACGCTCGAAAGCAGAGAGCTTTTCCCTGGCAAAGTCCACCCAAGACTGCTGAGGATATTTCTTCAGAGTTCTAAACATCTTCAAATAAACTGACAGGTAATAAATCATAAGCTTTCAGAAGACAATCTTTTACCTGAGTATAATCAGAATATTGTTCAAAAGGTAAGTTGGCAGTTATGGTTTGGGCTTTTCCTATTAAAGATGAATGTATTAAAGCAGCCCAATATTTAGGAGGCCATTGCATCACCTTCGCCTGATTTTCGAATGCTTCAAAAAATGAATCTAAATTATCCTCCGTAAATTTAGGCATCAAAGAGGCTGCTTTTACCAAGGTCAATGAAGGGATTGTATACATATTACTGGATTCTCTTTTCTTCCTCAGTACTTCCCGTTCATAAAGCAAAGATTCACGTTCAAAATTCTCCCTTTTTAACTTTCTCTGGGCTTCTACAAAGGAGGTTTGAAGCAATAAAATACGTTCTAGACGTTCAAAATTCTCCTTAGATTGAATAGTAGTCAAAAGGGCTAAAGAGATTTGAGGTGGAACGTGTTCATCCAAAAGGACTTCTTGTTCTGTTTCAAAACTATCTGTAAATGGTTTACCTGGATCCGTTTCTTTAGTGTGATTGAGTTCTGTTCCCCATATAGTCCTTGGAGATGGAATTGGAGTCGTTGTAGCAGCGAAGCGTTTCCGAGTATCAGGAAGTTCATGTCCGTCGTCTCCAGTAGGGGTTGTTAGCGTCGTAGTTTCGGCCTCGGGCGTCTGTAGAAAAGAATTCAAAAAGGAAGGAATATCTGCTTCTCCATTCTCGATCTCTGGATCCTGCTCATCTGGAAAAAGGACATTCTGTATCATACATCTGACTGTCTGGGCAGTGAAATGCCTGTCGTATTTTATGCCCAAGCTTCGTGCTAATTGCCAACAAGATTGAAGCTTCAAATTTTGTAATTTCTCCTTTGTTATATCTTCAAACCTCTCTGCCATTTCTACATTCATTTTAAAGGAAATTCAGTGTTATGCTCCCGGACACAGGCCCCCACTTGTTACACTCCAAGTATTGTAACAACTATTTCCTTTTTAGAGCATAACAATTTTGGTCAGAGAGGTTAGGGTAATAATAATGATCCTCCGGAATGCCTAATTTTAATTAAGTATATTCATAATAAAACAAAAGCCTGTTATAATATACGAATTATCGTATATAAGTTAAGAATATATGTTTCTTCTGTAGTATCCAACATATACATAAGGCTTTCAAAACAGAGGATTAGGAGGATATCCTAGATATAACATATATATAAATGGAGATTACTTTATACATTAAAGTCTTGTTTCCCAATTGGAAGCAGTCAGAATAAAACAGAATATGTCCAGGCCGGCTAATAAATCTTGGCCAGTTACAGAGACGAGCAGGAGTGTTCTCGTTGGCTGCTACTTCTTCACTGCTCGTCCCTCAACCTTGAGCATACACGTAAAGTGGGTCACGTGACCTGACTCATCAACACTCAGAGTAGTTGAACATAAAGGGGGGGGGGAAAGGGGGGGTATAACCATCAAACATCACGGCTAACTACACACCGGCACACCGGGCGGCAGGCAGGTTACTATAGCTCCAATTAAACTTATCATGGCCATGTTACATAAATTATAATTGTTAATAAGAATTAATCTTAATAATACAAGGACGTTCATTTCCAATTTAGCTATTAAAGGAAATGACCGCAATGTAATATTAAAGGAAGGTTAACCATAGGGGCATGACACTGCTACCACCACCAGTGGTGCTGCCACCACTGCTGCAACCACCACCACCACCACCTCCACCACCACCACCACCACCACCACCACCACCACCACCTCCACCACCACCACCACCACCACCTCCACCACCACCACCTCCACCACCTCCACTACCACAACCTCCACCACCACCACTTCCACACCACCACAACCAATACTGCTACTAACAACCCTTACCTTAGCATCCCCTCTCCCCACAAGGGAGGTTCCTTGATACTAGTGACAGGGCTCTTGATCTAGGGAATTAGACCTGTATGTACTCTTCTTCCTTGGGACCAAGCCTGAATGCCCCCCATTCCCCCTGGTGTTATGTGACCCTTACAGATTTAGCGCTGTCCTACAAATGTATACTACTACTACTACTATTACTACTACTACTATTACTACTATTACTATTACTATTATTACTACTACT